GGCCCAGTTGCTACCTTCAGTGGCCCCATCGTTGCCTTCTGTGGCCCCGCATTATCTGCCCTTCGTGGTCCCCGATCGTTCGTGCTCTTCGTTGCCCCATACGCATTCTCTTCGTGTCCCCGCTGTCGCCGTTCGTGGCCTACTTCGTGTCCTTCGTGGCCCTGCTGTCGTTCTCTCTCTCGCTATCGCTTTCGTTCGTCGTCGTCGTCGCCGTCGTCGTCGTCGTCGCCGTCGTCGTCGACGTCGTCGTCGTCGTCCTCGTCGTGGTCGGTCCCCTGTTCGTCCCTCTGGGTGTCGGATCGACGGTCCGCGGCCGCCCCGCCGATCAGCGCTGCCGCTGGCCAGGCCGACGGTCCGCGGCCGCCCCGCCGCTTGCCAGGGCCCGGCCTGCAGGGAAGAAAGGTATACCCCCCAAAAGGGGTTCGATCGAGGACGGAGAGGGCGGGTATCCAGGGTTTGGGAAATACGCGTTATTGGACACTCGAGCAGATGAGAACGAACAGTCTGAAAATGATGGGTGTTGCTGGTGAACTCTCATTTCTGAATAATAATTATTGTTGATCCCCCCCGTCCAGTGCACATTGATTTTTCGATTGAAGTGCCCTTCCTGGGGTTCGCACCCTGTTTTTTATCAGGGAAGTTCTTCCAAGTCAAACTGCTTCGTTGGCCCCCGGTTTACAACAACAGCGGCTCCCGCCTGAGACTTCCTCACAATTTAGCCAGGAACCCCGCTCCCGCCCGAGACTTCCTCGCCCTTCGTGGCCTACTTCGTGTCCTTGTGGCCCTGCTGTCGCTCTCTTTCGCTATCGCTTTCGCTCGTCGTCGTCGCCGTCGTCGTCGTCGTCGCCGTCGTCGTCGTCGTCGTCGTCGTCGACGTCGTCGTCGGCGTCGTCGTCGTCGTCATCGTGGTCGGTCCCCTGTCCGTCCCTCTTGGGGTCGGGTCGACGTTCCGCGGCCGCCCCGCCGATCAGCGCTGCTGCTGGCCAGGCCGACGGTCCGCGGCCGCCCCGCCGCTTGTCGGGGCCCGGCCTGCAGGGAAGAAAGGTATATCCCCCAAAAGGGGTTCGATCGAAGACGGAGAGGGCGGGTATCCAGGGTTTGGGAAATACGCGTTATTGGACACTCGAGCAGATGAGAACGAACAGTCTGAAAATGAGTGTTGTTGCTGTTGTTGTAATTGTTGTTGTTGTTGGTGGTGGTGGTGTTGTTGTTGATATTGCTGCTGTTGTTGTTGCTGTTGTTATTGTTGTTTGTTGTTTGTTGTTAGGTTGTTTGTTGTCGTCGTCGTCCCAACCGCGACCCGCTCCGCGACCCACCCGCGACCCACCCCGCGACCCACACCACGACCCACCAGCGACCCACCCCGCGACCCCCCCCCCCGACCCACCCCGCGACCCACCCGCGACCCACCCGCGACCCACCCGCGACCCAGCCCGCGACCCGCCCGCGACCCAACCCGAGACCCCCCCGGCGACCCACCCGCGACCCACCCGCGACCCACCCGCGACCCATCCGCGAACCACCCCACGACCCACCCGCGACCCACCCGCGACCCACCCGCGACCCACCGCGATCCACCCGCAACCCACCCGCGCCTGCGGCGGGTTTCTGTTGCATTCGTTCCAGGTGGAGAACCTGCGACCCACCCGCGACCCAAACCGCGCCCGCGACCCACCTGCGACCCGCCGCGACCCACCCGCGACTTACCCGCGACCCACCCCGCGACCCACCAAAAATTTTCGGCGCCTGCGGCGGGCTTCATTTGCATTCGCTCCAAGTGGACAACCTGCGACCCACCCGCGACCCAAACCGCGTTCAGTGCACAAATCAAAATGTTCGGCGCCTGCGGCGGGCTGTTTTTGAATACCTTCCAGGTGGAGGTTGAGAGCCCGCGACCCACCCGCGACCCAAACTACGTTCACTGAACAAGCCCGCGACCCACCCCTCCGGCGCGCGCGCGCTCCGCGGAGGAGGGGAGGAGGACCAGGGCGAGGAGCAGGAGGAAGACGACGACGAAGACGACGAGTACGAGGATGAAGAGGAGGCCGACGACGAGGGCGAGGCGGAAAAGGAGGGGGGGACGGAGGGGGACGACGAGAAAGGAGGAAGGGGAGGGGGAGGAGGAGGAGGCCGACGACGACGACGGAAAGGATGAGGGGGGAGGATCGGAATGGGGGAGGAAGAGGAGGAGGAGGAGGAGGAGGAGGAGGAGGAGAAAGAAAAGGAGGGAGGAGGAGGAGTTGGAGGAGGACGAGGCTGACGACGACGACGACGACGACGATGAGGACGATGACGCGGACGAGGAAGAGGAGGAGGAGGAGCAGGAGGAGGAGGAGGAGGAGAGCGCCATCGACAGGGAAGGTGAGGGCTACGAGGTCCGCCGGCTTGACGCCCGCGTCGCCCGCGCCCGCCCCCTCACTCTTATCCGCAGTTGCGGGGTGCTGCGTACAAAGAGCCAGCCGCACGCGCAGATGTTTTCTTCCAACCCATGTGGATCCGTCGCGGGTTGGTCGCGGGTGGGTCGCGGGTGGGTCCCGGGGTGCGTCGCGGGTGGGTCGCGGGTGGGTCGCGGGTGGGTCGCGAGTGGGTCGCGGGGTGGGTCGCGGGTGGGTCGCGGGGTGGCTCGCGGGGTGGCTCGCGGGGTGGGTCGCGGGTGGGTCGCGAGGGGGACGACAACAACAAACAAACAAACAAACACACAAACACACACACACACACTCGAAGAAACAAACAAACAAACAAACGAACTAACTAACTACAACCAAACACACAAACGAACAAACAAACAAACAACCAAACACAACAACAACAACGACAACCACAACAACAACAACGACGACAAGAACATTAACAACAACACCAATAACAACAGCAACAACAACAACAACAACAACAACGACAACACCACCACCACCACCACCACCACCAACAACAACAACGACAACAACAACAACAACAACAACAACAACAACAACAACAACAACAACAACAACAACAACAACAGCAGCAGCAGCAGCAGCAGCATCAACAACGCAACAAGCAGCATTCCCACCACGCATTCTCACTTCAGCCACGCGCCCATGGACAATGAATGACCGTTCGGCCCCCTCACTCTGACAAGGGTCAGGGGTTCTTGTATTGTCACAATGAGGGGGCCGAACGGTCATTCATTGTCCCTGGGCGCGTGGCTGAAGGGAGAATACATGGTGGGGATGCTGCTTGTTTCAATTGTTGTTGGTGTTGTTGTTGCTGCTGCTGCTGTTGCTGTTGTTGGTCTTGTTGTTGTCGTTGTCGTCGTCCCCCTCGCGACCCACCCGCGACCCATCCCGCGACCCACCCCGCGACCCACCCCGCGACCCACCCCGCGACCCACCCGGCGACCCACCCACGGCCAAACCCGCGACCCACCCGCGACCCACCCTGCGACCCCACCCACGACCTTTCCGCGACCCACCCGCGACCCACTCGCGACCCATTTGCGACCCACCCGCGACCCACCCGCGAACCACCCGCGACCCACCCGCGACGCACCCCGGGACCCACCCGCGACCCATCCACATTGGTTTGAAGAAACCATCTACGCCTGCGGCGGGCTCGTTGCATGATTCGTGAAACTTTGGCGCCTGCGCCGAGCTTCTTCAGAGGCTCGCAGACTGCCGACGTCCCCACCGCCCCCTCACTCTCGTACGCATCTGCGGGGTGCCACGCACTTGCTGACGCCCTGGTCGTTCCAGCCCACTGGCGTCTCGGCCGCACCCTGAGCCTCGCGCCGCGCCCGCGTGGACCTGACCACCGCCCCCCTGTGAAGGGGCCCTGGGACACACAGATAAAGAGGCACCAATCACAGGATTCCCCATACGTTCCCAGATCTCCTGGGTGTTCCTCGCCCCCCCCCCCCACTTCCCATACTTTTTCCCATCTGTGGTGTCTGTCTGTGTGTGTGCGTGCTTTCTCCCCCACTGACCCTGTAACTCAGCGAGCGAAGAACGGTATAACATAAACTGTCCAGCCGCCCAGGGACAGGCGCCCCCGACAGCGAAAAAACATATTTTATACCGTTCTTCGCCCTTTGAGTGCCTGCGTGGCTCGCCGACGCCACGAGCTGCTCCGGGCGTGGGCCTCTCGAGGCCTCGGCCCCTCCCACCGGGCCCGCCTGCTCCTCCCGAGCCGCTCCTGGAGATGGCAATTGGGGGGCCCGCGAGGGGCCCCAGGGGCCGAGGGCTGCAACAAGAAGCCTCCCGCCCTGCGGCCCACGGCGCGACGAGAAGAAGAAGAAGAAGAAGAAGCAGCGCCATGAGCATCAACGGCCGGCGCTCTGCGCGGATCTCTGGGAGCCGCGCCGTGCTGCTCCCCCCTCCCGCCGCGAGCAGGAGAGAAGAACAACAAGGCGCCATGAACATCAACTGTTGGCGCTCCGCGCGGAGTTCTTGGATCCGCGCCGGACCCCCTCCCTGGCGCGCGGGGAGCGCGGCGCCAGGAAAGACTCCGCCCGGGGGGCCCAGCGCGGATCCGAGAAATAAATCCGCGCGGAGCACCAACATTTGATGCTTGTACTGATTCAACTTCTTCGGAGGACTCGACTACACGCAAGAGTGACGAGTGACCCTAGGTAAGAGTGACCTTTGGCGCGCGGCTTTGGGGGGACGGCGGGGGGGGAAAAACCCAAGCGCGCAAGACGCTACTATCGCATCGCACTCGGCGATCGGAGGACCCCATTGTCGGGGATGGACAGACCCCCCTTTAGTAAAACGTGGTTTAGTGAAAACGACCTGAGGCCCAAACCTGGCAGGCGCAAGCCTGGAAAATAACGGCCACGGCGCCCTCTCGAGAACCGAAAACGGACAATTCACTAATCGACGTGTCACTGTTGGGGGTTCTGTCCACCCCCGACATTGGGCCCGCTCCAAAGGTCCCTCCGGCGAAGGGCCACCTTCACGTGCAATCGAAGGGCTCGCGCCGCGCCCGCGCAGGGCCGGAGCGGCGCGGCCCGCCCGGCCCGCCTGCCGCGGGGCTGCCGAGGGGCACCGGGGCGCGGCCGTGGTGCTGCGGCGTGGCCACCGCGCGCCGCGTGGCGGGGGGCGGCTCGGCCTGCGCGGGTCGGCAGCGCGGCGAGGGCCCCACGAGCGCCGTGTCCGTCCCGTCGCGGCCCCATCCGCGTCGAGTCCGTGCCGAAGCCATGTCGGATCCGCGTCGGATCCGCGTCTGAAGCCATGTCGAAGCCGCGTCGAGTCCACGCCACATCCGCGTCGAGTCCGCCTGGAGCCCGCGTCGGGCAGGAGAGGAAGACACCAAGTTCAGGGACAGGCGAGGTCCCCCGAAGGTGCAACGCAACGAGCGGGCGGGCCGAGCATCCAGCGGGACGCGTGGGCACAGCGAGGTGCGGCACGGGCAGCCCACGGAGAAGGCAGGCCCAGAGAGAGACAAGCACGACAGGAGCACATATAGACTTCAGGTCCTCGCGGACTTCTGGGATGTGCACTGGGCCCCCCCGTCCTGGCGCGCGGAGCGCGCCAGGGGCGGCGCCGGCGGCGACGCCAGGGGGGCCCAGCGCAGGACTCCGAACGTTTATGCCTGGGCCCTGTCATGTTTGTCTTCTTCGTATTATTATGATTATTATGATTATTATGATTATGATTATGATGATTATGATTATGATTATGATTATGATTATGATTATGATTATTATTATTATTATCATCATCATCATTATTAGTATTATTATTATTACTATTATTATGATGATGATTATTATTATTATTAATATTATTCTTATTATTATTATTATGATTATGTTTCTTCCTCGTCGATAACCCATGCAGTCTGGCACTCTACGAACTGACTGCGACGACTCGAAGGGCCCCACGAGCGGCGAGCGCCGGGCGGTCTGTGTGTGTCGTCCTGGCCCTCCGACGCGCAGGGCGGCGGAAGCCCCACAAGGGGGGGTTTGGCGCGAGGGGAGGGCTGCCCTGGGAGAAGGCCGAAGGGGCGGAGCTGCCGTGAGGGCGGGCGGCTTCCGAGAAGGCTTCTCCTCCTCCTCCTCCTCCTCCTCCTCCTCTTCCTCTTCCTCCTCCTCCTCCTCCTCCTCCTCCTGCTCCTCCTCTCCACCTCCTCCTCCTCCCCTCCACCTCCCCCTCCTCCTCTCCTCCTCCTCCCTCCTCCTCCACCTCCTCCTCCTCCTCTTCCTCCTCCTCTTCCTCCTCCACCTCCTCCTCGCTCCTCCTCCACCTCCTCCTCCTCCTCCCTCCTCCTCCACCTCTCCTATCCTGCTCCTCCTCCTCCTCTCCTCCGGCCACCCTCCTAGGCTCACCTCCTCCGTCCTTCATACCACCTCCTCCTCCTCCACCCCTCCTCCTCCTCCTCCACCATCCTCCTCCTCCTCGCATCCTCCCTCCTCCTCCTCCTCCTCCCCCTCCTCCTCCACCTCCTCCACTTCCTCCTCACTCCTCCTCCACCTCCCCCTCCTCCGTCTCCTCCTACATCTCCTCCATATCCTCCTCCCTCCCCTCCTCCTCCTCCTCCTCCTCCTCTCCTCCTCTCCCCCTCCTTCCTCCTCCTGCTTCCTCCTCCTCCACTCCTCCTCCTCCTCCTCTTCCTCTTCCTCCTCCTCCTCCTCCTCCCTCCTCCTCCTCCTGCCTCCTCCTCACTCCCTCCCCCTCCTCCTCCACCGATCCTTATTCCTTATTAGAATATACTCCTACTCCCCCCTCAGGCCGGCAGATAGCGGGCGCATCCGGGTGGTCCCATCCTAACCTTTAAAAAACAATACAACCTCAACATTTTTCTTATTTTTTCCTCTCGACATGGACGTCCTGTCGTCCACGGCGATAACCCATTGCAAAAAATACCACAAAGAGCACACGCGCGCGTTCATGTCAGAATCCTACCGAACACCGTGTGTTTGCAAGCATTTCAACATAAACACATCAAAAACCCAATGCTTTTTCACAAAAATTGTACAAATTTCCCGCCCGGGCTCTCTTGCTGAAATCATAGGAAAACCATAGGAATCTTAAGAATTCTGTAAAATCCAGCGATTTCACGTCATCGCGCGGTGCACTCGCGATGCTCTGTCATGCACCCAGGCCGCGAATCCTGTGCAACAAATACTACAAAGAGCACACTCGCGCGTTCATGTCAGAATCCTACCGAATACCGTGTTTTTGCAAGCATTTCAACATAAAAACATAAAAAACCCAATGCGTTTTCACAAAAATGCTTTGGGGTGTCCTGTCAGACCGTCGGGCTTCCTCCGGCCACCTCTGGCTTCCTGCGGTGTACCGGGCCATTCTCGACTCGTCTGGCAATGCGCGCGCGGCATTCCACACGCGCTCGCCAGTTCCCGTCGGCAACCGCCATCGCGGCCGCATCAGCTGTACCAAACCGGCTGGCCGGTGTGACTTCGGCCCCCAGTTGTGCCAGCTTTGCTTCTTATGTTGTGGGAGGGCGGGTGGGACTGGGCATGCCATGCTTACTCGCTCGAGCTGGCTAGCTTGACTCCTACTCCTACTCTTATCCTTATTCCTTATTAGAATATACTCCTACTCCCCCCTCAGGCCGGCCGATAGGGGCCGCATCCGGGTGGTCCCATCCTAACCTGTAAAAAACAATACAAAATCATAATTTTTCTTATTTTTTCCTCTCGACATGGACGTCCTGTCGTCCACGGCGATAATCCATTGCAAAAAATACCACAAAGAGCACACGCGCGCGTTCATGTCAGAATCCTACCGAACACCGTGTGTTTGCAAGCATTTCAACATAAAAACATCAAAAACCAAATGCTTTTCACAAAAATTGTACAAATTTCCCGCCCGGGCTCTCTTGCTGAAATCATAGGAAAACCATAGGAATCTTAAGAATTCTGTCAAATCCAGCGATTTCACGTCATCGCGCGGTGCACTCGCGATGCTCTGTCATGCACCCAGGCCGCGAATCCTGTGCAAAAAATACCACAAAGAGCACACTCGCGCGTTCATGTCAGAATCCTACCGAACACCGTGTGTTTGCAAGCATTTCAACATAAAAACATCAAAAACCCAATGCTTTTTCACAAAAATGCTTTGGGGTGTCCTGTCAGACCGTCGGGCTTCCTCCGGCCACCTCTGGCTTCCTGCGGTGTACCGGGCCATTCTCGACTCGTCTGGCAATGCGTGCGCGGCATTCAACACGCGCTCGCCAGTTCCCGTCGGCAACCGCCATCGCGGCCGCATCAGCTGTACCAAACCGGCTGGCCGGTGTGACTTCGGCCCCCAGTTGTGCCAGCTTTGCTTCTTATGTTGTGGGAGGGCGGGTGGGACTGGGCATGCCATGCTTGACTCGCTCGAGCTGGCTAGCTTGACTCCTATCCTTATTCCTTATTAGAATATACTCCTACTCCCCCCTCAGGCCGGCCGATAGGGGCCGCATCCGGGTGGTCCCATCCTAACCTGTAAAAAACAATACAAAATCAACATTTTCTTATTTTTCCTCTCGACATGGACGTCCTGTCGTCCACGGCGATAATCCATTGCAAAAAATACCACAAAGAGCACACGCGCGCGTTCATGTCAGAATCCTACCGAACACCCTGTGTTTGCAAGCATTTCAACATAAAAACATCAAAAACCCAATGTTTTTTTCACAAAAATTGTACAAATTTCCCGCCCGGGCTCTCTTGCTGAAATCATAGGAAAACCATAGGAATCTTAAGAATTCGGTCGAATCCAGCGATTTCACGTCATCGCGCGGTGCACTCGCGATGCTCTGTCATGCACCCAGGCCGCGAATCCTGTGCAAAAAATACCACAAAGAGCACACTCGCGCGTTCATGTCAGAATCCTACCGAACACCGTGTGTTTGCAAGCATTTCAACATAAAAACATCAAAAACCCAATGCTTTTTCACAAAAATGCTTTGGGGTGTCCTGTCAGACCGTCGGGCTTCCTCCGGCCACCTCTGGCTTCCTGCGGTGTACCGGGCCATTCTCGACTCGTCTGGCAATGCGTGCGCGGCATTCAACACGCGCTCGCCAGTTCCCGTCGGCAACCGCCATCGCGGCCGCATCAGCTGTACCAAACCGGCTGGCCGGTGTGACTTCGGCCCCCAGTTGTGCCAGCTTTGCTTCTTATGTTGTGGGAGGGCGGGTGGGACTGGGCATGCCATGTTTGAATCGCTCGAGCTGGCTAGCTTGACTCCTACTCCTACTCCTACTCCTTATTCCTTATTAGAATATACTTCTACTTCCCCCTCAGGCCGGCAGATAGGGGGCCCATCCGGGTGGTCCCATCCTAACCTGTAAAAAAACAATACAAAATCAACATTTTTCTTTTTTTCCTCTCGACATGGACGTCCTGTCGTCCACGGCGATAATCCATTGCAAAAAATACCACAAAGAGCACACGCGCGCGTTCATGTCAGAATCCTACCGACACCGTGTGTTTGCAAGCATTTCAACATAAAAACATCAAAAACCCAATGTTTTTTTCACAAAAAATCTACAAATTTCCCGCCCGGGCTCTCTTGCTGAAATCATAGGAAAACCATAGGAATCTTAAGAATTCGGTCAAATCCAGCGATTTCACGTCATCGCGCGGTGCACTCGCGATGCTCTGTCATGCACCCAGGCCGCGAATCCTGTGCAAAAAATACCACGCGGGCGACATGCGCGCGCGTCGCCGCGAGCGCATGCTCAAATCCTTCTAGAGTCGTCGCCGTCATTGGCACCGTCGCATGGACGTCCTGTCGTCCACGTCGCAAAATGCATGGCAGGAATGGGACCCGGCTTACCGGGCCGTTCTCGACACGGCCACCTCTGGCTTCCTGCGGTGTACCGGGCCATTCTCGACTCGTCTGGCAATGCGTGCGCGGCGTTCAACACGCGCTCGCCAGTTCCCGTCGGCAACCGCCATCGCGGCCGCATCAGCTGTACCAAACCGGCTGGCCGGTGTGACTTCGGCCCCCAGTTGTGCCAGCTTTGCTTCTTATGTTGTGGGAGGGCGGGTGGGACTGGGCATGCCATGCTTGACTCGCTCGAGCTGGCTAGCTTGACTCCTACTCCTACTCCTATCCTTATTCCTTATTAGAATATACTCCTACTCCCCCCTCAGGCCGGCAGATAGGGGCCGCATCCGGGTGGTCCCATCCTAACCTGTAAAAAAACAATACAAAATCAACATTTTTCTTATTTTTTCCTCTCGACATGGACGTCCTGTCGTCCACGGCGATAATCCATTGCAAAAAATACCACAAAGAGCACACGCGCGCGTTCATGTCAGAATCCTACCGAACACCGTGTGTTTGCAAGCATTTCAACATAAAAACATCAAAAACCCAATGCTTTTTCACAAAAATTGTACAAATTTCCCGCCCGGGCTCTCTTGCTGAAATCATAGGAAAACCATAGGAATCTTAAGAATTCGGTCAAATCCAGCGATTTCACGTCATCGCGCGGTGCACTCGCGATGCTCTGTCATGCACCCAGGCCGCGAATCCTGTGCAAAAAATACCACAAAGAGCACACTCGCGCGTTCATGTCAGAATCCTACCGAACACCGTGTGTTTGCAAGCATTTCAACATAAAAACATCAAAAACCCAATGCTTTTTCACAAAAATGCTTTGGGGTGTCCTGTCAGACCGTCGGGCTTCCTCCGGCCACCTCTGGCTTCCTGCGGTGTACCGGGCCATTCTCGACTCGTCTGGCAATGCGTGCGCGGCATTCAACACGCGCTCGCCAGTTCCCGTCGGCAGCCGCCATCGCGGCCGCATCAGCTGTACCAAACCGGCTGGCCGGTGTGACTTCGGCCCCCAATTGTCCCAGCTTTGCTTTTTATGTTGTGGGAGGGCGGGTGGGACTGGGCATGCCATGTTTGACTCGCTCGAGCTGGCTAGCTTGACTCCTACTCCTACTCCTACTCCTACTCCTACTCCTACTCCTCCTCCTCTTGCTCCTCCTCCGATTCCTCCTCCATCCTCATCCGTCTCCATCTTGGGGTACGACGTCTTATCCAACCCGTTTGTCCACTGCGTCATACTTCGCATCCCTGGTCATGGTAACTCTTCTGGACTTCGCTTATGGATGGGCTGGTGCGAACGCGAAGCGACTACACTTCAGCCCAAAATGTGGTTCCCTCTCTCCCTTTCTCTCTCTCCCCCCTTTTTTCTACATGAGGCGGAGGGCTATAAGGTGTTTCTGTGTTCAGAACGGAATGGCCAAAGACCCAACACATAACGCACAACCTGAGAAACGTAAGATCTAATACCTGGGCGCGCAAACAGGGCAGTGGATGAGGAGAGAGAGAAGATGAGAAAAAGGGCACGCACACAGGAGGCCACAGGAGGCTCCTGCTCCTCCTCCCTCCCCCCCTTTTTGTTCTCGTCACCTCGACGATGATCCGCTCGGATCGACGCACCTTCCTCCTTGCACTCGTCCTCGTCTCCTCGTCCTCCTCCTCCTCCTCCTCCTCCTGTTCTTCCTTTTTTTCCTCCTCCTCCTCCTCCTCCTCGTCCTCCTCCTCCTCCTCCTCCGCCTCCTCCTCTTCGCGCGGGGTGCGCTTTGCGTCGAGTATTGTCGACTCTGGCTGGCGCCGCTGGTCGGTCACCCATTCGCAATCGAGTGGTCGCCCGCAGGGGGCTTTCTGGCACTTGTTGATCCCCCTTCTCGTTGCCGAGCGCGGGGGGGGGGGAAGGTGGCGCGCACCGCCCCATCGCCCGCCACCGCGCACCGCGCGCCTCGGCGCATTTACAAAAAGACCTGGTAAGGCAAATCACGCGGGACTCTGGAAAATTCTCGGGGGGTAAATTAGAAGAAATCGCGGGACGTTTTTGAAAATGTCCAACCTACTTCTTGACATCTACCAGAATCGATGTTGACAAATTCCGGGGTCGATTTTAAAAAATGCCGAAATCTATTTTGTAAAATTCAGGATTTCAGAATTCTTCAGATGCCCTGCGTGGCGGGCGCGCTTCACCCCTCAAAACGTTTGTTTTTTTTGTTGTGTTGAAATGTCTGGGCTCCTTTCTGAAAAATTCCTGAACCGCTTGCGCCAACAAGCAGAGGGAAGCGTTTTCTGAAACATTCTGCAATCCAGTAATCTTTTCAGGGCGGTCCGACGGGCGCGGCCGGCTCATTCACGCACCGCGCCGCGCGATTGGGCGCAGCGCGCGCCGCGCGTTGCGCCCGCGAACGGCACTCGAAGGGGTTACCTCGAAAACAGCGCCACGGCAACGGCGACGACCCGCGGACCCCCCAAGAGCAACACAGCATACAGCGTGGAATCTCAGAGGCCGCTCCGATGCGCGAAAAATGCACCGCGCACATCACGCCAAGAACCTGCGCGACGGAATGCGCTCGACCATTCGTCCCTGGAGCCCGCGCGGAAGAACAGGAAAACCTGGAAATCTTGAACCCTATCAATATCAATGATTCACGCTCCTCTGAGTCCTCCTCCTCCTCCTCCTCCTGCTCCTGCTTCTCCGCCTCCTCCTCCTCCTCCTCCGCCTCCTCATCTTCCTCCTCCTCCTCCTCCTCCTCCACTCTTCTCCTCCTCCTCCTCCTCCTCATCCTGCTCCTGATCCTCCTCTTCCTCCTCCTCCTCCTCCTCCACTTTCCTCCTCCTCCTCCCCTTTTTCCTCCTCCTCCTCCTCCTCCTTCTCCTCCTCTGGGACGCCTCACACATCCGCTGTGCTGCGCCGCCTCACACCTCTCCTACTCCAGAGGCGGCTTACACACGCACGCACAGATCCGTCCTGCCGCTGGAGTCCATCCAAGCAGAGGGAGGGGAGGGCGAGAGGGGTAGGGCCAGAAGCGAAAACGAACCGACAGGACAGCGAAACCGACACCGAACGCGATACCGAACACAAACCCAAGGAACGCAACGTCGCGCGAATCGAGGCACGCAGCTGCTACGCCCCCGTGCAGCGGCGCGGGCCCAGGCCGAGGCCCCCGCCAGGTTGAGCAGCGCCGTCCAGCTGTGTCGCAGCGTGAAGAGGTCCAGGCTCTGGCGCCGCGCGCCAGCGTGGTCACCGCACCCGCTGTCGCCGTTGTCGGCGAAGCCGTCGACGTCGCCGACGCCGTGGTCTCTGCCGCCACCGTCGGCGGAGTCGGAGACGCCGTCGTCGTCATCGCCGCTGTCGGAGTCAGGACGAGAGGCGGAGTCGTCGGTGTTGGAATCATCGCAATCATCACAATCGCTGACGTCGCCGGCGGGATCGGAATCAGAAACGTCGCGTCGTCCTCGCCGTCGCCAACGGACTCAGAATCGAAACCAAGGCCGTCGTCGCCGCCAGACACGGAGCCGGAATCGTCAGGGCTTGGACTCGTCGTTCCCGCCGCCATCGACGGCGTCGCAGTCAGAGTCGCTGCCGTTGCCGCCATAGAATCGGGAGCAGGAGGAGGAGGAGGAGGAGGAGGAGGAGGAGGAGAGGGGAACAAGGCAGGTGGAGAAGGGGGGAGGTGCTGGGAGTGGTGGTGGAAGCGCGAAAGGAGGTGGGGGGAAGAGAGGGGGGGAGGGAGGCAAGGAGGGATAGGAAGAGGAGGAGAGGAGGGAGTGAAAGGTCGTTGCGGAAAGGAAGGCCATAGGGGGGCTGGCGCCCAAGGTGCGCATGGGGCGGGGCCGAGCCTTGAGGTGCTTGATGCACTGCGTGCTGACCCCTGCCGGGCACGGGGCACGCAGAGGGCATTTACACACCACCGCCGTGTCTGGCCAGGGCCACTCTGGGCCCTTGCATGTGGCCGGGGCCACAAGGGTGTACACTGGAGGCCTCCTGGATGGGGTCGGAGTCGGAGTAGATGGGCTCGGAGGATCGCGCCGCATCCGCGATGCATCGGCGACGTCGGCGATGGACCAGTGACGCCAGCGCGGAGAAAATTGGGCTCCACATGATGGGCGTGTTTTCCACCACCACCACCATAAGTTGGAGGGGGGGGTCCTCCTCCTCCTCCTCCTCCTCCTCCTCCTCCTCTTCGTCGTCCTCCTCCTCCTCCTCCTTCCCCCATCCAACTTGTGGTGGTGGTGATAAACAGGCTCATCACCACATCGAGCCGCATCGCCGATGCATCGCCGATGCATCGGCGAAGCGGCGCGATCCTCCGACCCCGTCTGCTCGGGCCCCATCTGGAAGGCCACGGGCGGCGGCCGGGCGGCAGCTCTGAGAAGCCACCCGAGGCGTCATAGAAACAAGTCGAGCACACTGGAGAAGAGCCCCGACCAGTTGACGGCGTGAAGATTCGCAATATGGATACACTGAGACCGATACTGAGGTCGATGGTGAGGACGATCGTGGGGTCGATCGTGAGACCGATAGTGGAGTCGATTCAGAGAGATCGATAATGAGATCGCCCGTGAGATCGCTCGTGCAATCTATGGGTTCGAGCGTGAGATTGGTAGTAAGATCGATAGTGAGGTCAATCGTGAAATCGATAGAGAAGTGGCTAATGAGTTCAATGGTGAGCCGATCGATAAGGATATGTTGATTGCTGATGCGTGTTTAGCCTTAGGGAAAAGGGGAGGGGACCACTAGAAACCAAACGGCGGCGAGTGGCGCATGCACATCTGTTACACGCACACTACATCACAGAGATCAACCAGAATTCCAGGAACCCGGAAACCCAATAACCCCAACGCCCACCGACGTCGGCCTGGAACCAGCAAGCCGAACCCGGAAACCAGGAACCCTAGGAACCTAGGAACCCTGCCACTCACCGAAATCGGCCAACACTTTCGCCGAATCTTTCAACACCCGCTGGGACCTTGGACTGCTTGGGGAGATTCGAATGCCCTGCTCCTGCTCCAGGTCCGCGTCCTCCCTCCCCCTCCATATCGTCCACCACCACGCCGCCCTCTGGCTATGCACAAGGGCTCCTGCCACTGTCCCTACATCTTTTTTGCCTCCTCAGCCTCCCAGGCCTGCTTCCCTCCAAGAGCGCTTCCCTTCATACCTTTCATCGCTCTTTCCCCTTCCTCCCTCCCGCTTCCTTCCTACCTACCACCATCCCTCGGAGGATGGAGAGGAGGCGGAGGAAAGGAGAAGGATTGAAAATATTGAGGGATGAGGAGGGATGGTGGGTGGGTAGAGGGAAGAAGGGAACAAATTGACGGGACGAAGTAGAAACGGAGGGATGATGGAGGGAGAGGGGATCACGAAAAAGCGTGGGAGGGAGAAGCAGGATGAACGAGCAGAGCGAATGATGAACAAGGAGGGTGGCCGTCTCAAAACTTTCTTCGGGGCCCTCTTGGGGTGCATCTGGGGGCCTGTGGGGGGGCACTTGGGCGACCTCGAGGGGGGTTCCAGGCAGACACTGGGTGGTGCGGGGGCTGGGGCATCGGAGGGTACAACTGTAGCGTTCCGCAGAATCTTCCCCTGGGCCTTGCTTCGCATATATGATCCCAGGCCGAGGCTGCACAGGCCCCCCCAAGATTGGATGGCCCCCAGGGTTCCACAGACCTCCCCAAGATGGAACGGGGGGGCGACGACGACGACGACGACGACGACGCCGACAACGACGACGACGACGACGACGACGCCGAAGCCGATGCCATCGCCAAGGCCGACGGAAGAAGACGACGACGACGAACCACCCCATACCCACTGGGGGACATCGCCAAGGCCGACGGAAGAAGGCGACGACAACGAACCACCCCATACCCACAGGGGGAGGGGGGGAACTGGTACCGACCACAACGCCACGCCCACAGGGCCACGACCGAAGAGGGGGGCCATCCCATTGGCGAGGTCTGCGCGAGGCTCATGGGCGTAACCCATCCAGTGGGGGGGGTGAACCCATTGGCTTCGGGGGCGGTGGGGGGGCTGTGAACCCGCGACACGGGATCATAGGTGCACCCGTTGCAAGTTTTCATGTAATCAACCAAGTCGAACCCAATGCAGCCGAAGTGACTGCAATGCCGTGACAGAGAAAGGTCTGCGCTAGGATTGGCCCAAACGCCATAAGAACGCACAAAGCGCCCGCTGCTCTCTGACCGACCCCGCCCCCCAAAACAGCGAGCGCTGTGCGCTGTACGGAAACGACGTCGCTAAACCGAACTGAAACATGCTGTCTCTGCGACGCATCAGCTGCAGTGCTGGCGCGGCGGCAAGCGTCAACCCCAGCCGCCGCGGAAAGAACAAAAAACGGCGAATGAAACATATGGCTCAAATCGGTCCCACACAAAAAAAAAAACAAGACAGGACGGCGATTGAAACAAGAACAAAAAACGGCGAATGGAAAACAAACACTTTCGTAGCATGGCGAATGAGAACAACTGGCCCAAGATCGGCTCCCGGACCACTCCTGGGATCAGAGCTGCGTCTGGCCGTGCCGACGAGCTCCCCCCCCTATAGCAGACATCCCGCGAAACCGGAGAACGGCCAAGGCTCGGGACGGGCCCGCCAGACAGTGCCAGCAGACCCTCGCTCTGGCGAGCTCTGGACGAATAGAACACTGCATGCGCACAAACCGTCGGAGGGCCGCGCGGAAATCCTTGGACTCGTGCTGGGGCCCCTCCCTGGCGCGCGGAGCGCGCCGCGGCGGGTCCCGAGGGGAGCGGGCCCTGGACTGGCCATCGCTCGGACGTCCATTCCCTGTGTTTTTTTCGGTTTCGTGCGTGTTTTTTTTGCGAAATGATCAAGGATGCTCCTCGATGGCCCTCGCCGAGAAAAAAGTGCACACGTCCGAGCGATGCCAGGCGAGTCTACTGGACGAATAGACCACGGCATGAGCACAAATCGTCGGGAAGGGCCGCGCGGATCCCTTGGAGCCCCCTCCCTGGCGCGCGGGGAGCGCGCCGCGGCGGGTCCCGAGGGAAGCGGGCCCTGGACCCAGGGGGGCCTTCCCCCAGGACGAGCTCTGCATCCCGAGCCGTCTTCTGACAGGATCCCGGGGCCCGCGCCTGACCGCGGCGAAAAACCTGGAGACCCTTTTCCCTCAGGACTGACGGGGCCCCAGGACACACAAATAAATACACACAAACAAAAAGATTCCCCTCCCACATGTTCTGGGTTTCTGTCTTCCCCCCACTTCCCATATTTTCCCATATTTTCTGGGGAATCGAGGATTATTTGTGTCTGTGTGTTTCTTTTCCTCCTGAAGGACCCGCTTCCCCCACTGCATGGGGGACGACGATGAGGGCGAACAGCCCCAGGGAGGTCCATACACGTATCCAGCGGCCGTCGGCGACGCTCCGGAGCGAATGTGCATACGGCAGGCTCGTGTCGTGCCGACTCGGGCGCTGGTTTCTGACACCGAGGAGATCGTTCAACCTTGAACGACCGGCCGTTTCCGAAACAACAAATCGTTCAACATCGACCGTCTCTGTTGTCGCCGGCGACGTTCAACGTTGAACGCCGGCGGCGGTGTCGCGGCCGGTCGACACGACGCGAACCTACCTGGGTTATTCGTCCCTGTCGTCGCCTCCGACCCATGGCGAGTCCTGGGGAGGAGGAGGAGATGGAGGAGGAGGAGGAGGAGGAGGAGGAGGAGGAGGAGAAGGAGGAGGAGGAGAGGAGGAGGAGGGAGGAGGAGGAGAGGGAGGAGGAGAGAAGGAGGAGAGAGGAGGAGGGGGAGGAGGAGGAGGAGGGAGGGGGGAGGGAGGAGGAGGAGGAAGGAGGAGGAGGAGGAGGAGGAGGAGGAGGGGAGGAGGAGGGAGGAGAGGGAGGAGGAGGAAGAGGGGAGGAGGAGCAGGAGGAGGAGGAGGAGGGCGCCGCCTCGGCCCGTCGAGGCCGCGCCGTCGTGGTCGCGGGGGGCGTCCTGGTAGCTGCTGCTGGTGATCTTCAGGATGTTCTCCCCCAGCGCGCGCTCTCGTTCGTCGTCGGCCTCTGTCTCCCCCCCTCCTCCTCCCCCTCCTCCTGTCCACCTCCCCCCCCTCTCCTCCTCCTCCCTGCCTCCTCCGTCCTCTCCCCTCCTCCTCCCCCCGCCCGCTCCGCGTCCACCGCCAACCCCTCTCCCCTCCCGCTGGCGACGGCGGCCCAGGCCTCCTTTTGACTTCTGGCGGCGCGCACGAGGGGGGGATAGGGGGAGGGGGGAGGCCTCTTGGGAGGAGGCTGCTTCTTCGAAGGCGCCAGCCATACATCTACAGAGAAGGCCCGCGCCTGCCATGAAGCAGGGGGGCTTCTGAGAAGCCGTCCGCCCTTCCACTGACCCCTCTCTGCGCGCCGCCAACCTGCTGCGCCTTGGACCTGCTGGGAAGGGGCGACCCAAGGCCGATCACTGTGGATATGGGTAAAACCGTAGCCTCCAGGGGCCACGTTTTTATCCATATCCACGGCGCCATTGGTTTCTGGGGAACGGATCTTGCCCGCACTGCTGTGGTCGGCGCGCCCTCGTGCCTGCTGGGGGCCAGTGGGTACAACCCTGGCCTCCAGGGGCCAGAGCTTTTTCCACATCCACGGCGCCCCTGGCTTCTAAGACGCAGGTGAGCTTCTAAGCAGACTTCCCCCTTCCCCCCCCCTTTGCGCGTGGCCCGCGTGCTGGCGCCGCGCCCCCGCGCCCACCCGCGCGAAGCCTGGCCCGCATCGGGAGCGGCGGAGCCCCGACAGAGCAAACGCCCAGGCGGAGACCGAGCGCTCCGTGTGGACGCACTCGGTGGGGACGTGACCCCCTTTGAGGAGAGAGGCTGAGTTCGGGTAGGACACAAGCCCAGACGCAGACCGAGCACTCCGTATGGACTTACTCCGTATGGATTCAGCGTCTCCTGCGCGGAAGAACGCGCGCTCCCCCGCAAGCGGTCTTCCGCCCGGCCCGCTGCCGGTGTCTTCGGGATGTTCTCCCCCGTGCTCTCTGCGGTCGAACCCGGGCCCCCTCTCCTCGCTGCGCACAGGATCACGGCGAGGAGCTGTCTCTAAATTTCCAGCGTCTGTGGGCCCTGACCGGGCCCGAGGGGGCTGCCAAACATCGGTCCGGGATGACGGACCGCGAGGCCCTCAGGCCGAGTAGCCTGGAAAGACGATTCCGCGATACGGCCCAGGCAGCCCCCCGCACGGAGCCAGACAGGCCGGCTCAGAGGCCCCCCCGCGGGAATGCTCGAAGACCACCGACTTGAATGGCTGCGCCCTGTTCCCGCCAAGTGTGAAGGGGCCCAGGCACACGCAAATAAATACACACACATATTTTCTGGGTTTCTGCCTTCCCCCCCGCCTCCCATCTTTTCCCATACCTTCTGGGGGATCGACGATTCATTGTGTCAGTGTGTTTTTGTCCCCTCCTGCAAGTGGCTGGCTGCCAAGACCCCCGACGTCATGATTTGTTCATGACGCGACCTCCAGAGGTTCCGACCGATTCCCCGGGACCAGATAATCATCCCGAGTCGTTGTTTGACTGTCCTGAGGGCCGGTAAGGGCCCCCGGACATGATTTGGCGAAAAACCTCTCGCCATGATTTTTGCATGACTCGAGGGGATCTGGGTGTGGTGCCTCCCCTGCAGCGGCGCCGACCTCCGTGGGCATCGGGCCCGCACCCCGTGCGCCGGCGGCCCCGGTGCCCCTGCTGCGCGCCGGCCGGCGGCGACGCGCGTGGGGCGCGGCACCGCGTGCGCCCCCGGAGGGGCCCAGGGACACAAAGAAATGCAGGGCAGGTTTTAATACATGGGATTTTTACATGGCTCTTTTGTGTATAAAAATATGCATGAACTCAACGTTGTTTTTAATACTAAATCCCAGCATTTTATAATACATGATCCGCACGCGGAGCATGTCTTAAAAACGGCACTGCACATACAAATCATAGGATTCGGGTCCCGGGCGATCCCCAGGGGGGAGGCTATTTTTCGCCACTCCTCATGAGGATCGTGGCCTCCGAGGGGGTGGCTGCAATCGACCACCCCCCCTCCCGCCCCAAGGGGGCCCCAAGAGGCCCCAGTGGAGCCCAAGACGCCGCCAAGGAGCCCCAAGACGCTCCCAAGAAGCCCCCAAGAGGTCCCCAAGACGGCCCCAAGAGACCCCAAATAGCGCTCCAGGGCCGGCGGAATGAGCGAAGCGATTAAATAAATACACACAGATCACAGGATTCCCCCTATATGTTTCCAGATCCTCTGGGCTTTCGTCTTCCCCCCCACTTCCCATGTTTCCCCATATTTTCCTGGGGGTCGACGATTAATTGCGTCTGTGTGTTTCTTCCCTCCTGAGAGTGTTCCTGGATGGGGCTGCGGGGGGCACGCCAGCGCTGAACCCAAACGGTTGTTTTTCGTTTTTCGTTATGGTTTCGTGTTTCCCTCGTTTTGCCTTCCATCCGACTCTACAGCAGAACGAGCTGGAGACGAAAACGGCCCACGCAATCGCCAAACCACCGTTTGGGTCCAGCCCTGTGGGCACGCGAGGCCTCCAGCGCGCCCAGCCCCCGGGCAGCCCCTATAGCTGCCCAGCTGCTTCTCCGCCGCCCGCATCGCAACGCGGGTGGGCGCATGTCGGGGCGAGCGGTGAGGGAAGCAGGACGGCTGTGCTGCCTCTCCTCTTGCCCCATGGCCCATGGCCCGCCCCAGCGAGTATCCCTCGCGTTGCCTCCTGGGCTCGTCTTGCCGTCTTGCTCCTACTTCTTCGACTCCTGCCAACAAATCCCCTGCCTTCCAATTCCGAGCCCTCTCCCCGCTTGCCGCGTAGTTCTCCGTGATCCTCGGCTCGGGGGCGGCTGAGTGAACAGATGCGCACAGGTAAGCGCAGCGGCTGCGGATCGGGAGTGCGTGATCTGCGTGTCCATGCAAGGTGAGCTCGCGCCTGATGATCCAAACTGGCGGCCCTGGAATCACGAAGCCCGACTGGCTGGGCGGTGATGCACACGACGAGACGATTGCTCGAATGTCGCTTTCGCCCACCTTCTCGTGATTACCATTCGCCTCTGCAATCTGGCAGGTCACCTCACTTCGCGATCCACCGCCGCTTTACTGTGGAAAATTCCACCCCCTCGTCCGCCGGAGCCCAGGGGTCCCCCTTCGAAAATACCCCCCTCCTGCTGAGCCCACCGCCCCCCTTCCCCCCAGCAAAACCCCCTCCCTACCCCCCCCCCCCTCTGGAAAACTGGGGGAGCTCACTACCGGTTCGAACCCCCCCCCTCCAAAAAACCAAGGGGGGTCACTACCGGTTCGAACACCCCCCCCAGAAAACCGAGGGGGGTCACTGCTGGTTCGAACCCCGCGCGCCCCCCCTCCAGAAAACCAGGGGGGGTCACTACCAGCCAGTTCGAAACACCCGCCCCCTCCAGAACACCGAGGGGGGTCACTTCTGGTTCGAACCCCGCGCGACCCCCCCCTCCAGAAAACCAGGGGGGTCACTACCAGCTCGACCCCCCCCCCTCCAGAAAACCGGGGGAGGTCACTACCGATTCGAACCCCCCTCTCCCCCCCCCCTCCAGAAAACCAGGGGGGGTCCCCAACAACACCGTCGTCCCCACCACCGTCCGCACCACCGTCCCCACCACCGTCCGTACCACATCCCCCACTGCTATCCCCAGCACCACTGTCCCCACCACCACCGTCCCCACTGTTCTTCCACCGTCCCCACTGTTCCCACCAGTGCCCCCACCACTGTCAAACAGTCCCCACTGCCCCCACCACTGTTCCCACGACGGTCCCATTCCCCCATCTTTCCCCACGGTCCCACCACTTTCCCACTGTCCCCACTGTGCCCGCTGCCCCACTGTCCCACTGTCCCCGCCGCTGTACCACTGATCCGTCCCATTGTTCGCACCACTGTCCCCACTGTCCCCACCTCTGTCCACACTGTACCCTTGTCCCATTGTCCCACCACCGTCCTCGCCACCGCCGTCACCACTGTCCCCACCACCACTGTCCCCACCACCACTGTCCCAACCACCACTACCGTCCCCACCACTGTCCCACTGTCCCCACCACTGTCCCAGTGTCCCCACACCACTGTCCCCACCGCCGCCGTCCCCACCACTGTCCCACAGCCCCCACCACTGTCCCACTGTCCCCACTGTACCCACCATTGTCCCCGCTGTCCATTACCAGTGCCCCAACCAGTGTCTCGCTGTCCCCACTCTCCCCGCCATTGTCCCACCAGGGTCCCACTATCCCCATTGTCACCACTGTCCCCACCACTGTTTCACTGTCCCCACTGTTCGCACCACTGTCCCACTGTCCCCACTGTCCCCGCCGCTGTCCCACTGTGCTGTCTCACTGTCCCCACTGTCCCCACCACTGTCCCACTGTCCAAACTGTCCCCACTACTCTCCCCACTGTACTACTGTCCCACCATCGTCCTCACCACCGCCTTCACCACTGTCCCCACCACTGCCGTCCTCACCACTGTCCTACTGTCCCAACTGCTCCCACCACTGTCCCGCTGTCCCCCACTGTCCCCACCACCACCGTCCCCACCACTGTCCCACTGTCCGCACCAATGTCCCACTGTCTCCACACCTGTCCCCACCACCACCGTCCCCACCACTGTCCCAGAATCCCCACCACTGTCCAACTGTTCCGAGGAGCGGGAAACGTTTGCCGGCTGCGAGGGGGGGGGGTTCGAACCGGTAGTGACCGCCCCTCCCTTTTCATAATGGACTGGAGGGGGGGGGGTCGAACCGTAGTGAACCCCCCAATTTTCGACGGGGGGGGGGACGGGTTGGGAACCCCCAGTAGCCCCCCCCCCTTTTTTTCGCCAGCAGCGGTAGAAAGCGCTATTCCATACATATTGCACACCATAGATCGCATAACATATATTGCACAACGTAGGTCACGCCACCTACATCACACCACAACTTTTGCAACACAATGCCTGTACGCCTAAGTTGCACAACGCAGATTGCACCACACATATTGCACTACCAAGATTGCACCACATAGATTGCACCACATACATTGCTAGAATCACGCTGTTACGGGTCCTCGTTGGCTAACATTGTCGCGTGCGCATGTTACGTAGCAGGGATGTGCGTGTGTGTGTGCGTGTGTGTGTGTGTGTGCGAGTGTGTGTGTGTGTGTGCTTTGCTTGCTGCTCATGTTGGCTATGTACTACGCATGTCATGTTTGCATGCCCTTCGTTGTACATGATGCGCACGTGTTCTTTATGAAATCATTTGTGGAAGCCGTCAAGCGGAATCCCCAGAGATCACCGAGACACTTGGGCCTGCCGGCCGCGGCGTGCAATCGTCATTCGCCGACGACGCAGGGCGTGGTCCCCAGGGATCTCTGGGACACGTGGCGCCTGGCGGCCGCGGCATGCAGGGTGTGCGAGGCTTGTCGGGAGCTTTTGTCTCCATGGGAACACATCTGACATTGTGTTTTCGAGTCGTCGGCCTGGGCTCGGAAGTATCAGAGGACGTATTTGGAAGCGTCCCATATGTCCATCCAGAGGTCAGGTCGGATCGGACGGGTGTCACAGACCACCTGCATGCAACAGACGTGGTACGCCGCACATCTCCCAATACCCCTTTCGTCCGACCAGACAGAGACGGTGCTCCCTCCATACAAAACCACAGGGCTGAACCCAAACGGTGTTTGTCGTTTTCGTTTTGGTTTCGTTTTCCGTCGTTTTGTCCTCCATCCGCCTCTAGCGCAAAACGAAGTCGACACGAAAACGGCCCACGAGATCGCCACAACACCGTATAGGTCCAGCCCTGGCAAACCGCCTTGGCATGCGGTGCCACGCCTCCTGGCCTCCTGGATACGGCAGCCGGCTCGAGCACCGCCCGCAGGCATACGTGCAGGCGCCGGGGCAGGTCCGCCGCCGCCCGGCAGAAAGCATTCGAGCATATACATGCAGCCACCAGAGGCGATGAAGGCGAAGAGGGGGAGAGGAAGGGCGGACAGACCTCGAGGAATGGGCCCCTCGGTGGGACCGAAACCAACTGCCTGCAGCAGATTTCGTAACACCACCTTTCCCAATCCTCCCCTTTCGTCTGGCCCGAAGCCCTGCGGCAACATCTCCCCGAGAACGCCCACATGTGCGAGTCGGCGAACCAGCCGCTCCCAGGTCCAGAGGCCGAGCTTGGCACATCGGGATCGTATCGTGACGGCGTATGCGTATTTCTGACGCGCGCCGCCCGCCTGATCCCTGTTCTCCTTCGGCCGCGTACGTGGTGGAACAGTTCGCTCTAACGGCATCCCCGTTTTGGCCTTCCGTCGCCAGCGCAGTCGCCCTCTGCCCAGCCGCCGACGCAAAAAGTGTAGTTCTGACACCGCGCCGATCCTTTGATGGGCCCGTCTTCCCACGACCACTACCACAGGCAGGACGGGGGGGAAGGGAGGATAGGGTCGTCCACCTGATCCCTCCTCCTCCTCCTCCTCCTGATCCTCCTCTCCTACCTCCACCTGATCCCTCCTCCCCCTCACCCTCCTCCTCCTCCTCCTCCTCCTCCTCCTCCTCCTCCTCCTCCCTCTCCTCCGTAGCCATTTTGGCTCAAGACTTATGCTTTGGCGGGCTGAGCCCGCATTGGCAAAAACGGATACCGCTAGTCCGCGGCAGCTAACTGTGTGTACGGAGGTCCCTCGGTCGAGGGGTTCGCTAGCCTCCAACCCGACTCCCCAGCCGTCGCTGCCATGGGCCTTCCGCCTGAGAAGCAGGATTGGTTGTGTCGCTTTTGTGTGCAGCGCTCTGGTGAACCTTGGGTCAATCCAGGTTACAAGATGTACAGTGCTGGGCGGGTCACAGACGGGTGTGGAGGGATGCACAATGGGGCGTGTTTCCTTCACAATGTGGAGCCCAAGGTCCCGTCGGTGCGCAAGCCCAAGCCCGAGCGCTCTCCTCCGTGGGCAACGGCGTCGGACACGGCCAAGTTGCTCGCTCGGCTGCAGGCGGAGGTTGCCGAGCTTCGCAAGCAGAATGCCCAGAAACTCCCCAGTGGGGCGCAGCCTGGGGTGCAGCTCGCCGAGCAGAGCAAGTCGGAGGATGATGAGGACGCTAAGATTATGTTGCAGGTGGGGGCTCAAGAGGGCATCCATGCGGCATGTGTCGGCGCGCCAGGCATGGAGCATGTGGCTGCCGAGGCGCTGGCGGCCAAGAGCGCGTTGCTGGAGAAGAGGCGTTCCAAGCAGCCGCTGTGTGCGCAGATTCGGCAGTTGTCCACTAAGCTGCAGAATGAGACGTCTAAGTTGCAGAAGCTGGAGAAGGCTGCGTCTGCTAAGGCGGCTGAGCTTTCGCAATTGCAGAAAGATACGGCAGAAGCTGAGTCTAAAGCAGCAGCCCAGAGGGTGGTCATCGTGGAGCTCGAGGGCCAGCTGCAGCAGCTGGGCAAATCTGCTCCGCAGCCTCCTGATGGTGCTAAGCCTGCTGCTGGTGGGCAGATCGACACGTCGGTGCTGGACGCTTTGCTGGCGGCGGCTGGCATTCATGGAGAGCTACTCGTTGCGGTCAAGGCCAACCCGCTGGTGGACAAGCTGGTGGTGCCTGTTCAGGCGTCTGATGGGGGCGGGGGTTCCACTGGTTCTGATGGCGAGCCGTCCCAGAAGAAGCCGAAGCTCACGGAGCCTGACTTTGACGGGATGGAAGAAGACAAGTTGCGGGAAGGTCTCTCGGCAGTCGGCTTTGTCGGAGAGCTACCGTCAGAAGTTGAAGAGTTGCGGGCGATGGCCAAGAAGGCCTTCAGTGGCGCGACGGCCTGGAGCCCGTATTAATAGCTGGATAATCATGTTCGTGCTACGATGTTTATTGTCGTT